TGGGCTAGCCTGATTAGTCAGGTTCTACATCTCTGGCAAAGAAAAGTGTCGGGATTTGTAGCCGCAAAATGTAATTATAGTGTATATAAACATTTTTTTCCCTTAAGCCAAAAGCTGAGTGTTAGGTGTGGTGGCTTATGTCTGTAAACTCAGATCTCTTAAGGCCTAGGCAGGAATGCCAGGAGCTCCAGGCCAGCCTGGTCTACAGAGTGAGTTTCAGACCATCCAGGGCCACAGAGTGAGACCCTACCTCAAAAGGAAATAAGTAAATTAATAAAAATGGGGGGGGGGCTGGAGAGATGGCTCAGAGGTTAAGAGCACTGACTGCTCTTCTGGAGGTCCTGAGTTCAATTCCCAGCAACCACATGGTGGCTCACAACCATCTGTAATGAGATCTGGTGCCCTCTTCTGGCCTGCAGGCATGCATGCAGGCAGAACACTGTATACATAATAAATAAATAAATCTTAAAAAAAAATGGGTTGGGGTTGCAGGTCAGTTGCTAAACTCCTTGCCTAGCATCCAAGAGGCCCTGGATTTGATTCCAGTGGAGGCAGGAGAATTAGAAGTTCAAGGTCAACCTTAGCTACATAGTGAATTTGGAGCACACATCTGTGATCTTAACACTGGGGAGGCGGAGGCAGGAGGATGGTGCGTTTAACACCAACTTGTGCTCCATGAGTAGTTCTAGACCCACCTGAACTATATAGCATGACCCCGTTTCAGAAAATAACAAACAATAATGATCAAATAATCCAGTTGCAGCCAGAGGTGACAAGAAAACAAGGAGCACGTGGAGCTGCGGGAATTGAGTCCAAGAGGGGCAAGCATAGAGTCACTGGGTGGCTGGGGACCATGGGAGGCACACTGTGGGCAGGTAGCCTGGAGATGGAAGCCAGGCTGCAGGATGCTGTGAGAGGCAGGGTGTGGCATTGGAGAAACCACAGGGCTCTAGAGCCAGCTGTCTGGATTTGAACCTGGCTCTGCTGCCTACCAGCTATGACCTTGGGCAAGTCACCTAAGTCCTCTGTGCCTTCGTTTCTTCAACTGTGAAATGGAAAGATACCATTGTAAGGGTTGCTTTAGGATAAAGCCATTGGGCAAATATCAACGTATTATCAAAAGATATTTCCTGGGATGCTAGGATATTGAGGGTAGAGCTTCAGGTTTTCTCAAAGCAGGTGTACCGTGAACCAGAGAGGAGGTGGGGCATTTTGGCCAAATGTCCCTGACCCAGGGATTCCAGGGTAGGGTGTATTGGGAGGGGGAGGCTAGGAAGGGGACTGTCTCTTGGAAGGGTGACAGAAGGGTGCACACCTTTTCTAGCTCCTCCCTCCCTTCCATGTCCCCAGCTACTCCAGAAGTTACCCTGCCCTTTGACTCCTCCTGGCCTCTTCTCTCCAGGCACCTGGCGACCCCGTAGATCCATCATCTTCGCCAGCTGGGGGGCAGAGGAATTCGGACTCATTGGCTCTACAGAATTCACAGAGGTAAGTCCCACAAAGGAATGGGTGGAAGGGGTCTTTGGATGGGGCCGTGATGGACTGAGGTGTTCCCCCACCCTGTAGGAGTTCCTCAGCAAGCTGCAGGAGCGCACGGTGGCCTACATCAATGTGGATATCTCTGTGTTCGGTATGGGATGCTCTGCTAGCTGTGAGAGGCCTGGAGAAGGAAGGAGCTAGGTCTGAACAGATCTCCTTGCTTCTTCCCACAGCCAATGCTACCCTCCGGGCACAGGGGACACCCCCTGTACAAAGCGTCATCTTCTCTGCCACCAAAGAGGTACAAGGGGTGGTGTTGGATCTATGTGGGAGGGCAGGACTGGAGCCCAGAGATCACAGTCGATCTGGAGATTGGGGTCTGGCAGAGACCCCACCCAGTTGTTAAGGCTGGGTTTCCTGAGCCACCAGATGTTTCTCTCTGTACCAGATCAGTGCACCAGGTCGCAGCGGCCTTAGTATCTATGACAACTGGATCCGATATACCAACCGCAGTAGTACAGTGTATGGCCTGGTACCCAGGTGAGCCCAGAAACCAGAAAAGCAGGACCAGAGGCCCAGCATGCCCACCCAGCACCCTCCAAATGCTATTGCTATTCCCTTCCCTCCTCTAGTCTAGGTACACTGGGTGCAGGCAGCGACTATGCCTCATTCATCCACTTCCTGGGCATCTCTTCCATGGACCTGGCCTACACCTATGACCGGGTGAGCAGTCTGCAACGCCACTTCCCTTCCAGTATTGATGCGGAAGGTTTGGTACAGACCGGCTCATTTCTGTTTCCTGTTGCTATGACTGACACCCTGACAAAAGCAACTTTGGGGAGAAAGGGTTTTCATCCTACAACTATTTCAGCTCCCAGTCTGGGTCACAGTCATTTACAGCAGGAGGCCACAGCAGCAGGAGCTGCAGGGAGCGCCCTTCCCAGGGAAGGGCGGAAAGCAAGAGTGCGTGCAGAATTCCCGGGGCTCAGTTCAGTTCTCCACCCTGACCTAGGGAATGGGGTTACCGTTGAGGTAACCCACCTCGATGGGTTGTAATCCACTGAGGTCCTCCCACCTCAATGAATGCGATAAAGATAAGACTCCCACAGACATGCCCATAGGCCCTCCTGATCTAGACAATCCCTTGAGACTCTTCCCAGGTGATTCCGGATGGTGTCAAGTTGACCATTAAAACTAGTCATTAATACTAGGCAACAGAGTTAGTTCCTATTGCTGTGAAGAGACACCATGGCCACAACAACTCTTATAAAGGAAAATATCTGATTGGGGCGGCTTACAGTTTCAGGGTTTAGTCCATTGTCATCGTGGCGGGAAGCATGGTAGCACGTAAGCAGACATGGTGCTGGAGAAGGAGCTGAGAGTTCTACATCTTGATCTGCTGGCAACAGGAAGTGAACTGTGTCACTGTAGGTTGGGCATAGAAGACCTCAAGGCCCACCCCCACAGTGACACACTTCCTTCAGTGAGGCTACACCTACTCCAGCAAAGCCACACCTCCTAATAGTGCCACTCTCTATATGAGCTTGGGGGGGGGGCAATTACATTCCATCAGTCACACCAGCTTTCTTGGGTTCTCTGAGCATGTTTACACCCATCAGATTGCACTGATGCAGACATGCTCCATTTTCTTCATTCTGCAAAGCCCTGCGTGGCATGGTATGTCTTCCTCAGGAGGAAGAAAGCGCTGCTGCTAGCTAGTTGTAGGATGGCAGTGACTAGCGGAATTGAGTTTAGAAAGCTTTCGTGAGTACTGGCACTACTCAGGTCATGTTAGGGAACTAAGAGGAATCACGTTGTGGGGACTGTGGTGGAGGCTGCAGTGCCTCTGGCCTGGCCTGCAGCTCTTGAGTAGATGCACTAAGACCCTTTCTCCCCCCTGGCTATGCTGTCCTTGGGTGGTGGAGCTGGGATCCCCATATCTGATTCACAGCCCCAAGCTCCTCCTCTTTCCTATGTGGGAGCTACTAAGCGGGTTAGTTCCTCCTCTTAGTGGGAATTCTGAAGCTCACGTCCTGGATGTGATGAGGACTGAGGCTGTGCCAGCTCCACAGCGTGGGGCTGACCGTGGGTGCATCCCCAGCCTGGTCCCTCTTCCTTACTCCTCTAGAGCAAGACCTCAGCCAGGATCTACCCTACCTACCACACGGCTTTTGACACGTTTGATTACGTGGTGAAGTTTCTGGACCCTGGTGAGGAGTGGACGGGGACATTCTGAGGAAAGACAGACAGGCTAAAGATGCAGTCCTAGCCTTGTGTCTCCTCCGCAGATTTCAGCAGCCACCAAGCCGTGGGCAGGACTGCTGGGAGTGTGCTTCTTCGGCTCAGTGACAGCCTCTTCCTGCCCCTCAATGTCAGTGACTACAGTGAGACGCTGCACAGCTTCCTGAGGGCTGCTCAGACGGATCTCGGCACCCTACTAGAGCAGCACAATATCAGCCTGGGTAAGCACACCCCGACACGGAAGTTCAGGGAACCCTCTATCCTCAGACAGGACTAAACCACATGTTCCCCACACAGATCCCCTGGTGACCGCAGTGAAGGAGTTTGAGACTGCAGCTGCGGCCTTGGTCAGGCGCATCTCAGCACTGCAGAGCAGCAGCCCTGAGTGAGCATGCACAGGGGGCACGTGTCTGGGAGGGGGCATACGCACATCAAGCTAGCAGCTAGATTGCTGGCTTGCAGGGTGACCGACATGCCCTCCAGTCCCTTGCAGGTACGGATGGTCAATGACCAGCTAATGCTCTTGGAACGGGCGTTCCTGAACCCAAGGGCTTTCCCAGAGAAGCCGTACTATAGGTGAGTCTGTGCCAAAGCTCCTGGGAGGTGGGATGGAGCAGTGATCCCACCCAAAGAGGCTTCCTGCTTCACTCACCAACAATCCACTCACTGATGCTGGGATGAGACCCTCCCTGCACTGCTCTAAGCCTCGCTTTTAGACAGCAGATGGAGGCTTTTATGGTTGCCTGCTGATAGTGTGGAATTCCAGGCCAGCCCCACTGACCGTCAGCTCGCTGTCTCTCCTCAGTCACGTGCTCTGGGCACCCAACACAGCCTCTGCTGCCACATTCCCGGGTCTGGCCAACGCCTGTGCTAGAGCCCAGGAAGCCAACTCCGGATCTGAAGCTTGGGCTGAAGTACAGAGGCAGCTTAGCATTGTAGTAACGGCACTGGAGGGAGCAGCAGCCACCCTGAAACCTGTGGAGGATCTCTGACCCTAGCCCTGTGTCTTGGGGCTCTTCTCATCTTGCATCTCTCACACCTGTTTATCTGGGTTATGTCCCAGTCTTTGATGAGGTCAGGAGTAGCTACAACCAGAAAACACTCTCAAACTTTTGAGGCAACAGCCATGGTTCTTGCAGTTAAACACACCTGCTCATGGTAGTGGGTGAAACTTCTGCCCAAAGCAAGAGTGTAGAGGCCATTGCCTAAGCTTTCTTTTTGCCCTGCTCTTCCATGTTCTATCTCCCCTCTCAACCCTCAAATAAAAGAAGTCGAAAAAGTTCCTGTAAAACGCAGTCCTTTTATTGTTTGGGAATCATGAAGAAGAGCCCCAGGTACTCTGGTCCAGTCCTTGTTGGAGATCCAACCCTCTCAAGCTGGAGGTTCAGGTCTCTGCACGTCCCTGTCTTCCTCTGCCATGACCACCTCCTCCAGGGTGCGCCCCTGTAGCTTGCTTCCCACTAATGTGTGGCAGGTACCAGGGGGTGGGAGTCCTTCCTCAGAGTATCGCCCCCTCAGGAACACAACTCTGTCCTTATCTAAGGTCAGTCCATGGGCCCGACACAGATCCTCGGCTTCGTGGAGTCCATCCAGGGCCAGAAGGTGTACTATGAAGTCCAAAGGCAAGGTCTGTCCTTTAGGAGTGCTCAGGGCACGGGACAGGCGGGCCAGCGCTTTGCGGCGGCAACAGCCAATGTGTCCCTGCACTGCACAGCTCTGTAGGTAGGGCAAGGTGCGAAGCAGGCGAAACAGCCGGGCATGGTTGCCTTCACGGAAGGCAGCGTCAACAGCCAGGGCAGTCTGAAGGGGTGGGCAGGCACGAAGGGTGGCAGGCAGCTGTAGAACCTGCTGCAGGGCTTCCACAGAGCCTGAGAGCAAGAAGAAAGGAACAAGAAGGCTTAGTATTTCCTAGATCAGGCCTACCTCACATCCCACCTCCTCCAGCTCGTTTCCAGATCGTGGTTCTGTCCACTTGCCAACTCCAGTCTCATCTCCCTAGAGATGTTAACCCATTTCCTCTCCTTCCAACAGAGATCCAGCCATCAGACCCTTCTCTGAAAGAACAGACCTCTTTTGGTTGCAATCCTTACAAAGGGGAAGTGGACAGTGTTTTACATTCTACAGGCTGTCTTCTGACTTCCTATTACTGAGACAAAACACAATGACCAATCACAAGCTGGGGAGGAGAGCGCTTATTTGGACTATACATCCAAATAGCTGTTCATCACTGAACAAAATCCAGGCCAGGAACTCAAGCAGGGCAGGATCTTGCAGGCAGGAGTGGATGCAGAGGCCATGTAGCGGTGCTCTTACTGGCCTGCTCAGCCCGCTTTCTTTTGTTCCCTGTTTTTCAAGAGAGGGTTTCTCTGTGTGTAGCCCTGGCTGTCCTGAAACTCTCTTTGTAGACCAGCCCGGCCTCACAATCCCAGCGATCTAGCTACCTCTGCCTCCTGTGTGTGGCAGGAATTAAAGGGCCCCTGGCTGCTCAGCCTGCTTTCTTATAGAACCCAGGACCACCAGCCTAGGTATGGCATTGCCCACAACGAGTTGGGCCCTCCTACCCTGATCACTAACTGATAAAATGTCTTACAGCTGGTCTCATGGAGGCATTTCCTCAGCTGAGGCTCCTTCCTCTCTGATGACTCTAGCTTGTGTCAAGTTGACACACAAAACCAGTCAGTGCATGGGCCAAAATAAAGGCTTGAGTCTGTCCTAGAGCTCAGACTGATCCTGCTAGACTCAAACCTAAGTTTTCTGACTTGGTTTTCCACCGTCTAGGCTACAGTATCAAAAAGATTTTGAGTGCTGCTGTTACATTTCTCTATCTGGAAAGTTTTGTTTTTGTTTTGTTTGTTTTTAAGAAGACTCTGTTCATTTCCAGGAAATTATGGCCACTGGTACCTTGGGTCACTTTTGTAAATTAATGAGTTTAAGAGCCATCCTGGGGGCTGGAGAGATGGTTCAGTGGTTAAGAACATTGGCTGTTCTTCCAGAGGTCCTGAGTTCAATTCCCAGCAACCATATGATGGCTCACAACCATCTGTAATGAGATTTGGCCCCTCTTCTGGCCTGCAAGCAGAGCACTGTATACATACTGTTATGCATGATAAATAAATCTTTAAAAAGTCAGTCTGTGTGTGATCCAAGCATACTGTATTCACATATAAAATCAAAGAATCTGCCTGCCTCTAAGTTGGGAGCAAAGGCGCCTGCCACCAAGCCCATCCGATTTTCTTTTAATAAATAATTCACCCACAGAAAAGACTTTTAGCAACTTCTGTCAGATCCATTCATGGGCCAGTCCACTGAGTAGTTTTTATGTTTTCAAAGTGCTTTCTAGGCCAATTCTCTCGTTACTAGTCCACCTCCCTTCAGCTCTATCACGAAGAAAATAGCCCAATTTGGGACTGACAGGTCGGAGGTCCAAGTCGGGACTCGAGGGCTCTTCCGACCTGACTTTCCCAAGGAAGAGCTATTGCTGAGTGATGGAAGCCGCCACGGTCCTAAGCTACACTTCGCCACTGATGCTAGAACTGTTTCTCCCCCAAAATCCTCGGATCCCCGACTCACCCAAATTGTAGAGCAGAAAGAGGCCCTGGAAGGCGGCCTGGCGGGGGTGCGGGGCGTTGCCCCGCGCGTAGCAGCGCCGCAGCGAGCCGAAGCCCTCCTGC